ATATATATATATATATATATATATATATATATATATATATATATATATATGTATATATATATATATATATATTCGTGATAACAACAAGATACTGTAATCAAAGCAGGTAATGAGTAGAAGTAATGTAATATAACAATGAATGACTCTACAATTTTGAAAATTGGTGTAAATTATTAAGTTTCTCCACCTCCAAACTACAAATCAGTTTTTTTTTATTTTGTGTTTGCATAGCTACAATTTCGTGATTCTAACTTATACTCTCTTTAACTTTTGTTTTAAATTTTTTTTAAATTTCCACCAGACTCAATGAAAAATTACATTTTATCTAAAAAAAAAAATAAAATCAAACATTACACAGTTTACTATTAAAGTTTACCTCACTAAATTAAATAAATCCAATTTATTAATTCAATTTTAATAAAAATCAAATTAAAATACTAGAAGATTATAGAATTCAGACAAGTAAAAATAAAATCAATTTGAAATCTTGTTTTGTGATAAATTTACTATCTTATCTATTCTTTATTTATAAAAAAATGTAAATTATAAAGATGAAAAAAGCAATAACAAATGAATACAATAAGGAAGTTATTTATATTTTATTTCCTCCAAAATATTATTGATTATTCAATAAAAGACAAAAAAAATATAGCAAAATGAGTTTACTTTAATTTATTTTCGAAAATTGAATGCTGAATCAACACGAAAATTACATTCCACCAAACTTTATTTTTTAAACTGAAAAATCTCAGCACAAACAAACTTTGAAAACGCCGAGACGCTATGACAACACAAGGATTTAATAAATTTTAAATTTGAAAATAAAGTATCGTGTTAATTCCATGGATATAATATGGATATGGATTTATATTTATGTATCTCCATGGGTAATTCTTCAAAATAAAAAAAAAATTTAGGGTAATTTCGGTTTAAATTTTTTTACGATTTTTTACATGCGGATTTTAAGATTTATACAGTTGCTTTGAGCTGAAAGGAATTGAACAAAGTTAATAATATCAGGATTTTATTGATGTAGATAGCCTGAATTTTATAGAACTCTTTATAAACGTCTTTATTATGACTTAAGATATTATATTTATAATTTTTTTTAGTGATGGAAAAAAAAATAATTTTAGCTATTTAGTTGAATGCTGAGTGATGACATTAGACCCAGATAAATCGATGTGAAAATTTTGATGATTGACTTCGCTCCTTGATGAGTGACTGAGTCACTGAATCCAAGCAAATGATGCTGTTTTTTTGATGATATATAAAATGTTTGAAACTTTATTTGCGCTGATGTGGAAATATGACTAGATAAAGTAGTGAATTTGAGAATAAAAGTGAAAGTGAAACCAAAGTATTGAGTAAATATTCACGAATGATAATATTTGGTTAGAATTAGGATGATGAGTTGATGACTAAATTAATGTAAATATTTGTAATTGTTACTCATTAAAGTTTTTACGACTACTTTTCTAAATACTTTAACAATTTCAACACTTAAAACCGTATTTAAAAAGGCACATTACTAACATATGGTTCGTTGAACGAACCATACTTCAAATTATAATAATGATGTGTGCAGTTCGTCACGTCACCAGATTCGTCGGTTCACTTCAGTTCACAGTCTAATCTGATATATAATTTTAACAACGCATTTTCACACGCACGCACACATACAAACAGATACACGCACATATATAATTTATTTATGCTTGTTAAATCAATCAAGTAAATTTATACAGCTCAATTTCTGAAGATTTGACGGGTCTCAACCCAAAATTTGCAAAACAAACAATCATGAGAAAGTACAAAAAATAATAACAACATTAAATAAAATAAAACAAATAAAACAAAAATGAATAAAGAAAAAAGCAAACATGAAAATTCAGTGAAGAAAAAGGAATAGAATAGGATAGCGGGTTTAATTACTCTTTCACTGGTATGAAGTTATGCCCTGTAACTTTTTTTTAATTGAGTTTTAAAGTATTTGATGAATCCGTGAAGAAACGATTTTTATTAGAAAAACAATTTCACTTGTAATGACATACTTAGCAATCAAGAATGTATATCGCGTTGGTTCGAAAGGTTCGAAATAATAAAACACATTTTTATGTTCATAATTTAGTATACATTATACATGAGCAAATGTCCACTGAATAATATTAAATTAGTAATTCGTTAGTATTGAAGTAATCATAACTTAAAATGGATGCTAAAAACGACTGTTAATATTTTTTCATTTGTGTAAGAGTTGCAATGCGTTTGTAAATTTATTTCACAGTAATATTACTGTACGTTTTGTATTACTACTGGTAGTTTTAGTAGTAGTAGTATAATAATTGTAGTAGTAGCAGCAGAAGCAGCAGTAATAGCAGCAGTAGAAGTATTAGTGGTAGCATTAGAGTTGCGCGGTATATAGAGTTATATAAAGTTGTGCGGTTATATAGAGTTAATTCAGAGCTGTTAATTATGGAAGTTCAAAAATAGTTGGGATGTTAACGTTAAAACGATTATCATCTCTTTAGTGGCAATGAATACAAGTCTGGCTGAGATGCTTGTGCATCTGGCGTCGGCTTTGCTGGATGTGACGACATGGTGTTACATAGGAACGCAACGATACGTTAAACAAAGCGGCTGGGCAAACTGATGGCAAACTTTAAGAACGTGGTAAAAATTGTTTTTCTTCCATATTTTACCCTCACTATTCTTCTTCTTTTACTATTATTGTTTATATTATTGTTTATATTATTGATATTATGATAATGATAATCATGGTTAACTAGCCAAATTGAAAATTTCCATGAAACCCGTATCTGAGTCAGTTATATTATTTCTACGTGTACTGGCTGCATACGTGCTAGGAAGCTCGCACTCTTCGGCACTTTCTAGGCACACTTGGGGCAAGTTGTTTGAGTTTTTGGAGGTAAAAAATAGTTGTGATAATAATTCGGTGAAAGATTTATTGTCATGCCATTTTTTTCTTTCTATGGCAGTGCAAGCCTGGCTGAGATGCGTATGCATCTGGCCATCTAAGTTCTAATTTGTATTTGATCTGTGTACCTGTACAGTTAAATCCATTTTGCCTGTTGAATCAAAATTAGTTTCTTTTGTCATTTAACGGTTTATTCATCATCATTTTGGTTGTTGCCTACGTTCTTATGGGTTCACGTGTTCATATTCAGTTCGGCTCTGTTGACGCTGTTTTTGATAATCCAATCTGATTTATTTGATTTTTCTGTATTTATTTGACGAGGGGCTTATAATAATAAATGTTATTACTGTTTAATTTATTGACTGATCGACCAGAAATTATTAAATAAAAATATTAAAAAATCTTATTAAAAATAAATTAGTAGCGATTGCAGAGTATGTACAGACAAACACTGTTTTTATGGTATTCTTACTAACCACATACATATGTAATTAACGTTAAAAACATGTTCTGGTTTATCACAGACTTCTGGTTAAGACATTCCCCAGAAAATTTTTTTTCATAGCAGACAAACAGATTTCTCACATCCAAATTATCACTTTTCTGAAAATTTGTAAAAAGTATACAACAAAAATTTCCAATAGTTTTTTAAATGTTAATTTTTTTTAGTAGGTAGTATTCAAACAGGTCTGACAAATTCGTGAATGGTGCAAATACTAAACATTATTATATACGAAAAGAAGTCATCAATTCTCAAAACTGTTTACGATGAAACGGATATAAAGACTTTCATTGAATGTAAACGTTTCTTGAAAAAGCTACTTCGTTTCAAAGCGTAATCCTGATTGTAAAAATCCTGATTGTAAAATGTAAAGAATGTTAGCTATCAAATAACAGTAAGTTCGTTACCTAGATATCAATCAACCTCACTACTTAATGCCTACTTAACACCAGTGCAGTTAAGTTTTAACGCAGACATCTCATTTATAAAAGATGAATTTATTTCAGTTTTAACACCATTCGTCAGAAAACGAAGCACTATATGCATGGAGTGAAAAATACCTACTCATTTAATGTTGATGATATTCTCATTTAACGCAGACACGCCGCGGTGAACTACTATCGTCACGCTAAACCCTCTGAAGGTCAAAGAAAATTATTCTGAGTTATAACAATTATGATTTGACAATATTAGCAGTACCAGCATTGAAAATACACAACAATATACAAAGCATTTTTCTGTGTAGGACGATAAGCACACCCGTCTCCAATTTGGAGCAAACACAAATTCAGGTAATCTACCTAAGAGCAATTCCCATCTGAATAGACATGAAAAGAAATTTACTTAAACGTGTTTTTAAAAATTTCCACAATTTTCTAAAGAATGCAAACCAATACGACACAACTCGTATGTTCACCCTTTATTAATTAGAAATAAACGTATACATTTAACATTAACTAATTAATTAATTAACAGCATCATAAAACAGGAAGTAATTTATCATAAATTCTTAATAAGCCATCGTTGCAGTAGTAGTAGTAGTATACATAGTAACTTGTCTCAGCGTAATAATTAGCAATATATCATTGTTCTAATTGAGATTTTGATAAATACCAAAATAGGTAAAATTTAGTTAAACTGATTGAAACTACTTATTTTAAAACTTTCTTACGAAAAGCAATAATCCTTGATTATTTGTGAATCTGCTGTCATTTTACCTCATCATAACGTTGCAATTACACAAAAACGTTTTAAACATCATTTAGCTCTCGTTGGCTTACCATTATCATTATTATTATTGGTCGTATACAATAACTCAAAGTAAGTTAACATCATCAAAACGCAACATATTTAACATATTATAACATATCAATGTAAATATATATACATATATGAATATTATATTAGCATACTATAATACATATATAGTATGCGTATATATGTATGTATATACAAGACCGTATTATAATATATAGTGTAATATATGTCTTGGAAAGAGTTAAGCGGTGAAGTAGCGATAGAAAAATGCGATAGCTGCAGCTATCGCAAGCGGGATGAGCCAAGAGGTCCATGACCTGGAAAGAGAAATTATTATTATAATTATATTATTTCTATATTATTATAATTATATTATTGTTATATAATATTATTAATATAATATTATCAAATAATATGGATAATATTAATGTATACTTGAATGCAGAGCGAACTTAATAAGTGGAGATATACGTACATGAGAAAAAATAACGGTAAAAATTTTGAATCAAAAAATTCAAATGAGCATACAGAAATGAACAAATTCAGACAACACACACACACACACAAACGCGCAGAAACACGCAATGCTGACAAACACGCACGCGCACATACACACGCACAGTTTATAAAACTGAACAAACATTCAAACAAACGAACAGACAAACAGTCACGTGACCTTTAGTATTAGACGAGCAGACGTACAAAAAATTATAAGTACAAAAAATTATAATCCAAATACAACAGTGCAAACATCGACAAAACAACGCGTTACTGGCTCAATTAATTAAGTTACAAAATAAAATAATAATTTTCCAGTAAACTGTGTGTGTATTGAGAAACAGAAATGATGTAAAGACATGACGATATTAATTAGTAACAATTAATATATATGAAAAGTATAATAATAATCAAATGTTAGCATTAGCAGCAGTATTAGTGGCCACCAAAAATAATGTGGTAGTACGGACTGAAAATCTATCTGCCTACATTTTTTTAACATATTAGGTAATATGTATGCCTATCTTACGTAACATATAACTGGCAACGTAGCTAGTATCAACTACAAATTTAAAAAAAACAGGCATCTATCCACAATTAACACAAACTACTGTCTAATGAATGACATAACATAGTCGAACTATAAAAAGTTAGGCGTAAACATCTTTTTAAAGTAGCCGAATCGAAATTAATTAAACTAAATTGCATGTTGCAACAGATTCTGAGTTTCAGAATCTGATTTTCGAAAGAATGAATTAAAAGAATATGATGTTTACGCCTAACTTTTTTTTAGTTCGTTTACGTTATGTCATTCATTAGACAGTAGTTTGCGTTAAAAGAAAAGAATTCCAACATGGGCAGATGCAGGCAGGCATTCACCACACCACATCAACCAAACCAGACCAGCCACACTCACATTGTTGAAAAGATATAAATTTCTGGGTAAGGAGTGAATATGCATGTAATGCATATTCACTAAATCATAAATATCGTTTATTGCACATACACACACAGACACGTGTTTATGTGCTACATTAGACAACTGAACTATATAGGGCATCATATTAATATGAAACATAACTCTGGAACACCTCTATATCATTAAACATATCACATCACGTGGGTGAATGAGTGAGTGAAGAAATGCGTGAATGTCAGTTTTGTCACATTTGTCAGTTTTGTTCAAGTGTACAAAGTGTTGTTAATCCACTTTGTAAAAAAACAACACATGCGTAAATTCTAAATAGAAAACAATAAAAACAATGTAAGCGAGAAGCGAGAGAGGAAAGAGTAAGAGAGAGAAAGTGATAAATAAAGAGAGAGCGCTGACTGAAATTTGAGTCATTTCATACAATTAATCTCAGGATTAAGATATAATTCTATGTTAATCGCACTACAAACCTTTTAGTTTCTAAAATGCAAACAAAAAATAATTTTCTTTAAATAAATAATTTTTATATTATATTACATCAGGTTCCTGAAGTTTTCTGCTGTGCTACTGATAAAATATAGAAACGTCAACAAGAATTAATCTAGATAACATCAGAATTCTCAATTAAAATGTGAAAAAAGCATCTACAACTGACTAAAACTAATTTAGTATCTTCTGTTAATAACCATTTTGCGGGGAATTTTTTAACAAAAGAAGAAACAATCAGTAATTTATTTAGTATCTTTCGTGTTAGCTATTTTCATTAAAATACGTGTGTCTCATTACCAAAGATACTAAATGAGATACTTCACAAAAATCATAAACCATTTCTGGTTTTTACAGAAAGATATGTTCTGTTTATTCAAAGTTCCCTGGAAATATCACCCTATAAGTCCATATTAACGCAAATTAGAACTGAAGAAGATAGATACATGCTAAGCATTACAAATGTCAGTTTATAGTCTGGTAGTATTATATGTGAAAGTTTATTAATTAGCAGATCCTCTCGGCAGTATATGCCATTGAATAGAAAAAACTTTCTAATTAATGATATTATTATTATTCTTTATTATTATTATTCTTTATAATTATTATTATTATTATAGATTAACCAATACCCAAAACTTGCAGTTGAAAATTAGGTTGAGATAAGTTGATAAACAGCTCCTTTTCCCTACATAACATGTCATTCGTTAGAATGTCGTAAAATTACTATAACACATTGGTTAAACAGTGTTTCTAGGTATAATGACTTGAAAAAAAACTATTAAAAAATGCTACCCTGATATAGAAAACCATCAATTCAAAACACATTTCAAAGTTTATCACGAATACAGCTAACTTAACCATAACCACAACAGCAGATCAAATAATGGTGGCGAGCATTTTGGTGAAAAAAAGTAGAAAAAATAACACACAACCGTTTTGTTAATAAAATTAATTACGAATTAATTACAAAGAAAAATCTTCGACTTGAATAGACAAATAAGCGTAAATGAGAATTAAGGTGAATAAAAATGCTATAGCAATACCATCATAAAAACAAAACTCTCAAATTATCATAGATATTATTTTTCAAAAATTGAATGTTATATTATAAAATTAACAGAAGTTAATCTTAAAACCTCAGGATGGAAAAATACTAGAAACGTTACGAATAAACATGGAACAATATTACAAAATATTTCTCTTGGTGCGAGCTAGACGGCACATTGAATAAATAACATTCTTAACACAGATTGTAAAAAAAATGTTAGCTCCTTTTGAAAAAATTAAAATAAGTAAACTTGACAAATTTAGAGATTTGTTTGAGTTGGTTGAAAAAACATACCATAAAGCATTCAGAAAATGTTAAATAATAATACACTGAATACTGAACACCTAACAGATAAATAGAAAACACCATATAAATTAGTAATGAATAAAAGTTAAATTAAATACAGAAGAAATAGAAAAACGTGGTAATAATAATAAAAAGTGGTCTAAACTATGCAAAAAATGTTAAATAATACATTCAACACCAAAAAACACGTAAAATAAAGATATATTAATACAATGATTTAGTTAATAACAAAACTACGTTTGATTTGTAATTGTTATTAGTATAGTAATAGTAATTATTAACAATAGATGGAGTAACAAGAAAATCAGTAATGTATAAAGGTTAACTTAAGTATTAAACAAAAAAAACTATAATAGAGTAGTAATAATAGAGTAACAAAAAAATTAGTAGCAAATAAAAATTAAATTAAGTATTAAACAAAAAAAACTATATATATATTCAAGACTCACGTTTCATTGGACGGTGCACCCACAAGGCTGGCCTTATCAATATAGTAGCATTATTTTCAAATTGCATTATCAATTTTATCATTTTATCAATTCTTTCAATTGAAATTTACTCACCGAGCCTGATTTCTCCTTTTCTCTATCGCTCTATTTTTAAAAGAAATGAATAAAATTGTTTAGTTACCATAATGAAATAGAGAAATTATTAATTAATTAACATATAATCAAAAAAATAATAATTATAAAGATGATTTTCAAAAAAGAAGCTAAGATATCCGATAAATATAAAATTTAAGAATGCTTAAACGAAACAGATAAGAACAACTGTTTTTCTGACACCTTACCAGAGCTCATTTTACATTATCAAGTGTCTCATTTCATAAACTAGGACATAGTTCTAGTTAACAAAAATCCCAAATCTTAAATTATCCTAAATTACACCTCATGTGAATAAATTACAAACATTAAAACAGATTTGAATCTCACATAGTCAAATGAAAAAATATTTTAATTTGAAAAAGAAAATTATTTCAATTTAGCAGTGAAGTTAAACTTGAACTGATGTCGTCACGCACACACACCTCATGTAAGGTTCCAATTTTATACTGTTTCATCATTTCTTTGGCATCTGTTGAATGGCCTACATCTTCGAATGCTTCTGACGCAAAGGAACCTATTGAATTTCCAAAAAACAATATATTATTGTTGAGTAAACTTTAATCTTGAGCAATTTTTAAAAATGTAAAAATACAATTTATAATTTATGAAACTATATATATATATATATATATATATATAAGATCTGAGAAAAGAAAAAACTATAGCTATACTTATATTTTATTTTATATTTATATGAATAAATTACAACATAAAACTTATATATAATTAATAATTTTTCAAACAGAAAAAAGTGAACAGACCAGCTTGCTCCAACAGAACTTCTTCACCCCCAGGGTGCTGGGATGCAATAATAAAAAAAATTAAATTTAAAAATATAAAATGAAAATATTTTGTAATAAGTTTGTAATGCTATCTCAGTAAAATAAACTGAATCCCAAAACAAAAGTTATAACAGGATCCCACCATCAATTGGCAACAAACAAACAAAATAACAAACAAACAAACAAACAAACAAACAAACAAACAGACAGACACACAAACAAAGCCCGTGGCAGGCACACAAACATAAAGACGATAAAGGCACCCACCTCCTCGAGAAATGGCGTAACGTCATAGACATCATTGTGGATGATGATCCAGCAAGACTTTGAGTTGTTGTGTGACTTCACATCAGCCAATTTGTAAATTTTAGTGCTGTCTCCGCTAACGTTTTTAGACATTTTTATGATTCGAAAAAATTAACTAATTAAAAAATAAATTAGCGATAATAAGTTTCGTGAATAATTGAAATTTATTTTTGTCTGTTTAAACGCTGTTGTCTCTTACGCCAGATTTTCAACCATTACACAACACCCAACAAAGACTGTTGTGAACTTTGAACAAAGAATCGAAATTTTTAACAGGTGCTTGGTAAATTCTAAAATATAAAATATTTTGTAACTATTTAGTTTACATAATGTTATAAATGCTAAAAATTAATAAATTTCAAACATATTTATTTTTCAAATAATGTTCTAAAATAACATGTATTTAATTTTTATCATTATTTAATTTAATTCCAAGTTTATCAATGGCTAAATAACACTTAAAACACATATTAATAAAAAATTCAGAACTAAACAAACTTAACTAACAATTTTCATTAAAAATTACTATTTAAACGCTAATTTGTCTCCGGAATCACGGGATTTTCTCGTGATATTTCATGCACGAACATATGAATGTATGGTATGTGGGCCTGGCATCATATGACCGGCCATTCATTGTTTGTCTTTCTTGGCTGGGCTCGTCTCTTTGTTTGTGATCCATTGTCATCTTCTGCTTGTATAAATAAGCCTTGCTGTATTCTCTAGAAAGGAGAGTTCTCGCTTTCATATTTCACAATTATTGTTTTTATCTTTGAAAGTTTAATCATTTCATAATGCCTTTGTGCGGTGGAACTTCGGATGTTAAGCCTGCTGGTGCTGATGTACAAGCGGTCGTGGATAAGGTAGGTTGGCCACTGCAAACTTTTGTTTTGTAATTCAGTAACCTTATTTTATTTTATTTCAATTTTTCTATTTCTGCAATCTACATATTAACTTAACATATAATAATATAATATCTATTCTATTCCATGACAAATATGCTAATATTATTGATATTTATAATTTATTTATATTTCGATGATTTGCCATTTCAATAAAATTAAACAAACACTACAGATTTTTAAAAATAAGACTGAATTTATAAATTTTTAATTTAGCAATAATCTATGTTCAAAAACTGAAATTATGGTGTTATATTGATTATTATTATAATTATAAGTTTTAATTATAATTTTTAATTATATTCTTTTGGGTTCTCGGCATTTACTTTTTTACATTTCATATATGTTTCTATTCCAATTACTAAGCCATTTGCATTTGCACACTAAGGATAAGCAATCAATTTCCTGGTTGTTGATTTAAAAATTAAAATTTCATAAAAAAAAAAATATTTCAAATTTTTCTTATTCATTTCAGGTTAGGCATCATGTTGAGAACAAAATGAACAAGAACTTCAAGGAATTCACAGCGATCCACTTCTCTTCACAAGTTGTTGCTGGCACCAATTATTTTGTTAAGGTGAGCTGTCAAATATGCAGATTTCAGATCATTAATTATATTATATCTTTCAATAAATATTACATTTACAATAGTATTTTTTATCTAAATAGAAACATAATTATTGCTTACCAGTTATAACCTTCTAATGTAAATGTGCAACCGACAAACTGCATGAAATAATTAAAAAACAACTTTTAAATTGAGAATTGATTATTAATTTAAAAAATACCAAGAGCGTATTATTCATTGTTCACTCTAATGCTAATGATTAAATTGGAATAATCGAACCAGGTTCATGGAGGAGATGAGGAATACCTCCACCTGAGAATTTTTGTTCCCCTGCCATGCCATGGGACAGAGCCAGAACTGCATGGTGTTGAATACCCCAAGGCCATGTCCGATAAAATTGAGTACTTCAACTCTAATTAAGCCTTTGTGAAAGACTTAACAACGTTGATCATGAATACTCATGCTTGCCTTTATTACTATGATTATGATTCAAGAGATTTTTTATGTTTAGTTTATTAGCCCAGGTTTGGGCACCTTTGTGTTAGAAATGTTATGAAAAACATGTCTTTTATGTTAAATATTAACACAAATTTAAAATGTTTTGTTGTGACTAACTACATAGAAATGAAAAAAAATTAACTGGAATACGAATGTGACTGTCCTTGTGATCATTGTGTCATTGCGTGAGAAACCCTTTCACTGAAGCTATCGCCTCAAACATTGCACCATTTTGCTTATATGTATATACATGTGTTTGTGTGTGTATGCCGTTAGCCAAATGAGAAATTGCTTGAATTTGCTTAGCAATCAATCATGGAGTCAAAATGAGTTAATAAAATTTTGAAATTGAAGAAGGCATGCGGCAATTTTTGAGGGGACCGTTTGAAACGTTTTTCATTTTTCGATCGAAACTTCATTTATTTATCCATCTAAATAAAATTGTACCAATAATTTTCCTAATAATGATGACAAGTAAAAAAGGAATCGCTAAGTTCCTTTTTTCAAAATAAGAATGGAATGGTTGATTGTTTTCTCCAATGAACTGAGCACAACGTGACACATGGATCTGAAGAATGATCGATTAGATGAATAACTCGAGTTATGGAAAAGCGGAATGTATGAACAAAAACTAAGAGTACGTCCGAGAAACACAACTTAGAATGAAATGAAAATAGGAGGATCAATTGAAAAATATTTACAAATATATTAAAATAAATATTAAAAATATTAATACGCACAAGAATTCACGATCAAATGTACACAGGTGTGCATTGAAACGGTCTACATCACATACACAAAAACGTACACAACAAAAATCTTGATACATTGCTCGCAATATCAACAAGATAACTTGAGTTATGGACAAAAAACTGAACCAATACAATGGTGAGAAGTGTTAAGGATGATAAAAATGATATCGATGATAATACAAATTAGATTAATGATAATTTTAGGTTAAGATGTCTTTTCTTCTTCGTCCTCATCTGGAGGGTAACATGACGGGTTCTCCCCTCTCCTCTGTAAGATCTTCAAATCCACTCGTCTGCCAATGTCTCTCTCGTCGTATACCTACAACAGGAGGAAAACAGATTCACATCTCATGATTGTATGTTCAATCGAGATTGGCTGGAAACTAAAAAAAACTAACTTGTCCAACATGGTCAAACCCGTATCTGAAAGGTGTATGCATAAAATAAGATCTATAATGTCGAGAGACTGCTTGGAAACGAGATATTATTAAATCACACGACAAACGATTTTTTCAAATCAACAAGTAAACTATAAATAAAAATTTGATTTATTGAATATAATTTAAAAAATAACAATAGAATATCTGTTGCTCAGTATCTAAAGAAACTATGGTCATCTATAAATATCAAATTGAATTAGAAAATATGAAACGTAAAACGTTCACAAGGTTTACAACTATTGACTGACACCAACATGTTAGAAAAAAATCATTATTTATAAAAAGTAACGAAATGAAAATTACATAAGAATAACAATTCAAAATAAAATTATAATTTCTACATAATCAGCAACCAAATTAAAAAACACCAAAAAACGAACCTTTAAACACCAAAAACGACAAAAAACACCAAACCTCCTGACAGAGAACGGAAAGGAGTTAGGCCATCTATCACACGAAACACTATCGGAACAGTAAGCGTATGAGACAACCTTTGGCCAGAGATGAGTCTGCAGGAAGCTCATGTCGCTGAAATACTTGGAGGAAAGCCCTCGCATCATGTCGATCCAAGAACTGGGTACATGTGCATTGGGTGCATGCTTATGCATTACATTTTAATAAGTCACGCATTACATTACAATTCATTTCAATTTACAATGTCCATAGTTTAAATGTCTTACTGATTAAACAAATATGACAATCTGTTTATTAAGAAAGAACAAAAGATAGAATATATATAAGTAAATTTTTCCTTTGATAAATATAGTCAACAGAGATATATTTGTATATCATCATGAACTTTACATTATATTACGTCATCTGTAAAGAAGTAAAACAACACTACAATTATGCAAGTAACAATATGGCAAACTGCCTCTAAGAACATTGATTCATCTCTAATGAATCACTCGCTCACTAACTCACTCACTCACTCACTAACTCACTCACTCACTCACTGATATATTCACTAACCTCCTAATGATGTTCCTCAACTTCTTGGCCATACCACCCCAAAGCCCACCAGACACCGAGTACCCAACGTGACTCGGGTGATCACGAATGCAGTGGAATGCCTGCCCCGAAATCATCCAGGCCTCCACACTTTTGTAATCCCTTTCCGTCAGTCTCGAATCGGAATCTCGCACTATGAATCTGTCCACTGTTGGATCATCTGCAACCAGAAACCTGTATGAATGGGTACATTTTTTTTTATTATCCTTTAAAAAATCAGGATCTGACAGACGCTGAAACTGAAACAGTAGTATAAAATGGTAACGAAAAATAGTAAATTACTAAAATACTAACGGAGAAAAAAATGTTTAAAAATGAAAAGTATTGAAAATACATGTTGTCGTCATGTTATGTATTGTAATGTTGTCAGGTAATGTATGGGGTTGTTTCAACGAGAATAGAGTAGATGAATTCTTTTATTGTGTCTACGTATTTAATATGAATGTACTCCCTCTACAATAATATATCAGTTAGGAGCAACTAAAAATATACTATCACCGATAACGAGATCAACACGAAAAAAGAACAACTACAATGGGGCATCTTAATAAAAATGCAACTGTAGCAAAAAATAATCTAGACAGAAAATAAAATCAATTCACTTAAAATCGAAAAAGAGAGCAATAACTCAATAAAAGAAAGAAAGAAACAAAGATAAATAAAAAAACAAAAGACACCTCCACATCATGGGAGGTAAAAAATCCTCCTCAGGCTCGATGAAGTGCAAGTCAGCACCAAGATCTTGCAACGCATCAAGAACCTTTTGAGGTACCAACCCGTACCTAGGACTTTTCATCGCGTGCGACTCCACGTAAACCCTCAACTTCCAACCTGGAAAATTCTGTTTGATCAGACGGGCGTTCTTCAGAGTTCCTGTTAAATATTTCATCTCTGATCCGTACAGAGACATCGAGACTATTTTTATTTCACTGCCAAATGTTGAGATGTTCCGAGGGACTAGGTTACCATAAAGAATTTCAGATCTGGTCATATCTTTACGACTTTTTGAGCCGGTCAATCGGTGGTCAATAATGTTTAACTTTTCTTGATAGTTGTAATCCGATGAGTCCTTATCATGACGATCAGATTTTTCATCCTCACCATAATTATTACCGCCATTATTTCTGGTAATTTCAAAATTGTTTTTGGCATCTTCAGTGCGAGAAATTTGTTTCTTTGTAGGTAGGGGAGCATTAAAATCATACAGTAGACTTTCATCAACCTCAGCAAATGCCATCCTATCGACATTCATGTTGACATTATTTGGATTGCTATTGTATTTTAGTCTTTTATTTTTAACTTTTGACTGTTTTTCAAACTTTAATCTGTGGTTTGGAATTTTATCAATGATGTTTGAAGTTTCATTTTTTTTAATTAATAATTTTGCTGTTGTTAAATAATTTCTGAAAAGTGACACTGAGTTTAAATGACTAAAACCTTTAAAAGAAACACGAGATTCTATCTTACTTTCCACAGTAACATTGTAAATTGAATCTGTTGTCATACTTCTAGTGAGAAAAAGGTTTTGCAGAAAGTTTTTCTCTAAACTGTCACGATCAGTGTATAAATTCTTCATCCTTTTCACAGAACGCTTGAAAACTGTAGCACGTTTTATATTTAGATAGGTAGTAGTAGCAGTAGTAGCAATGTTTGATCCGAAGCTAGTGGTGGTGGTTTCAGCTATTTCGGCAGCATCAGTCGAATTTTTCAATTTTGTTTTTTTCTCTTTGTCATCCAAACCTTGCTTGTGCATCCTGTAGCCATGAAATAAATTCCTTGCATTGCCAAATGATTTCAAAGGTTTATGACCTTCTATTACAGTCATAGAGTTTCCATAGTTGGGGTGTTGATAAAAATACCAGAAGTGTATTGAGAAGATAGTCACAAGCAGTATGAAAATAATCAACACACGTTTTCTCAACTTCATCTTGTCACTTTGTTCATCTAGAAAGAAAAATAAATATATAGAAATTATTAAATATGCACTCAATTAACAATAAAAAAATTTAATTGTTATATATTTTTCATCATAAATAAGTTTTGACTATAATAATTCAATGATATAAAAGCAAATTATTAATTAATAATAATAATTAATTTTTAATAAATTAGAAAAATTATCTCCTGGCATCATATTAAAATTAAATACTTTTAAATAGTAAATAGCTAATAAGTGGTCATAAAACTTATACCATTATAACATATAATATATGCCATATGTAGTAGTAAAAACAATGAATGATAATCTTATTAATTATTAATTAAATTATTAATTTTTATTAATGATTCATTTCAAAAATGATATATAAATTATAATCCTAATTAACCTAGCATACACAATCGCATGCTGAAAATGGCATTTTAGATTTTAATTGATACGCGGCTTCTCTAACAACAGCTAACACATTTTGAATCCAAAATAAAAAATTGAATTAATTTAAAAACCGATTAAAAACGCTTTGAGCGATAATCGATTTTGAAATTAATTAGTAACCTGTGTTTAGCATAGCGCACCAGATTAGTTTGATGTTTGACATTCAACCACAACAAAAACTGAACACCTGGACCATATAATTAGAATAAATATAACGGCCTTCGCTCATTTTTGACGGTCGAACAAGGAGCTTACTTCCGGAGGGAAATTGGAGGGTGATTTTTTTTAATATATGTAATTGTAAAACAAAATAGTTCTATTCAATGAGTATAGGGATATTGTTACATTTATTTTAGTGTGAAGTTAATTTGAAAATAAACCTGTGAAAAGATGCATCAGAAATTTTCTCATTTCTATTTATTATTAATGCAATTTTTAATGCAACAGGTAGGCATGTTTGTGAATAGCTATGAAAATGAAAATTATTGTATCTGACATGAAAATTAGTACAGAAACAAAAACGAAAGAATAAATGACAATATAAAAATTTAAACATTGATTGAAAGAGTTTATTCTAATAATATGGTATGGGCAATTCGTTGCGAGGAAATCGTTGGAGGAAATGGTGTCAACAGTAGTTATTTTACTGCCTGGTAGTTAATCAGCCGGTATAAAGGTTATATTCAATTCCTATCAAATAAATTTGACAAAATATACACAGGCAGAACTAAATAAACAAATAGACATATAGTTATAATACATTTATAATGTTGTATTTACACATTCAAATTGTACAATTGTGTTATGGTGTAGTCTCAAATTATTTTAAATTCTCTCAGAAAATTTTAAACGTTTTACTACACTATATATACCAGTTATTTTTATCAACAATTTAAAAATTTTATCAATAATTAAAAAAAAATTTCAAATTGATTTCATTGCGATATCACTAATGATTTTTGCGACCTGACTGATTAAAAAGCATCAAAGAAAGTTAAAATAGGATGGAGAATTTGTTATATTGGGATATTCGTTTAAAAAGCGAGCAAAATTTTAATATAAAAGCGCTTATAAATCTATGCATATTGGCTCAGCTTGGCTTGGCTCGGCTTGGAATCGGATGTTAAGCAAGGTGTGGTCTTATACTATTTTGAATTCTCCCCGCAAAATTTGAACTGCGTGCGTACATATATAGTAATGGCTACTGTTGTTTTTTATAATGAATTTATGCATATTGGCTCAGCTTGGCTTGGCTCGGCTTGGAATCGGATGTTAAGCAAGGTGTGGTCTTAAACTATTTTGAATTCTCCCCGAAAAATTTGAACTGCGTGCGTACATATATAGTAATGGCTACTGTTGTTTTTTATAATGAATTTATGCATATTGGCTCAGCTTGGCTTGGCTCGTCTTGGAATTGGATGTTAAGCAAGGTGTGGTCTCAAACAATTTCGAATTCTCCCCGAAAAATTTGAGCTGCGTGCTTACATATATAGCACTGATTACTGTTGCTTTTATAATGAATTTTTATTATATATATATATATATAAAGTGACTGGAATCCATGTATACAAATAATTAAATTATATTATATTAGATTATGTTTATATGAAAAGCAATATAGCAGATTCAACCAGCCAACCAGAAAGTTTCGAAGGCGTTCGTTCGATGACTTCAATTTAGTACGGTTAGCGTTTTGGTTAAGACTGTATAATAGTGTAGTACATACATTAAATAAGTTTTTTATTGATGTGAATGATTGAAATGATGAAAATGTATGGTTGAAACGAGTATAAATAGGAGCTGAAAAAACGTTGAAATCAGATCAGGCATTTCTGCCTCGCTCGACTCGGAGTGCCTGATCTCATTTTTTTGTATTTATATTTTTGTAATTTATTTATTTTTATTTAATTTTATTTTATATAGAGTTATATAGAGTTATATAGAGTTATATAGAGTTATATAGAGTTTGCATGTCTGTGGTTTGTGTGTTTGTATGTTGTATTTTTTTATATTTTAGGTGGGTTCTTTAGCGGTTGCTCATACATACATCATGTTTGTTTGTGTGGTAGTATTTTATGTTCTGTTTTACTCCTTTTTCTCTTTCTTCATGAGTCTTGAGTTAAGTTAATGAAGCATAGGTAGGTGAGGTAAAAATTAATTTATTATATAGGTAGGCTAGGGCATAAGGTAATTTAGTTACATAGGTAGGTTAGGGACTCCTATACTTTTACTCTACTTGGTGGTGTGATTTTTGTTTTGTGTTTTTTTTTTGTTTTGTTTCACATCATACATTCAGCAGGTACGCGATGGTTCCTGGTTTTAGTGGGATTTTTATTGATTGAATGTGGTAGTATGCATGGTTATATAGAGTTATATAGAGTTATATAGAGTTATATAGAGTTATATAGAGTTATATAGAGTTATATAGAGTTATATAGAGTTATATAGAGTTATATAGAGTTATATAGAGTTATATAGAGTTATATAGAGTTAATAGAGTTATATAGAGTTATATAGAGTTATATAGAGTTATATAGAGTTATATAGAGTTATATAGAGTTATATAGAGTTATATAGAGTTATATAGAGTTATATAGAGTTATATAGAGTTATATAGAGTTATATAGAGTTATATAGAGTTATATAGAGTTATATAGAGTTATATAGAGTTATATAGAGTTATATAGAGTTATATAGAGTTATATAGAGTTATATAGAGTTATATAGAGTTATATAGAGTTATATAGAGTTATATAGAGTTATATAGAGTTATATAGAGTTATATAAAGCATAAATCCTATATAGATACCGTTCTTTGCGGTTCTTTTCTTTGCCGACCGGTCTGCTTCTTTGCGTTTCTCTTTTTTCATTTAAATTAATTAAATAAATAAGATTTGTCCATTCATCTAGGTTCATTCAGGTTCATTCATTCAGGTTATAGCCTCCAGAGGAGTTCGTCGTGGAGGATCAGAATGGTTGTGATGTCACCCTACGTTCAACCTTAACCCTAACTTCCGACTTTACGGTTTCTTAACGGTTTCTTTTTTTGCCAGTTTGCTGGCTTTTCCGGCTGGTGGATTTCACCGCGGCTCGTTTCTCTATTTTCATTAAAGTTAATTAATTAAATAGGATTTTTTCATTTCATTCAGGTTGAAGCTTCCAGAGGAGTTCATCATGGAAGATGTCAGGCTACGTTCGTTCATTCAGTGGCAAAGAATACCTGCCTGACTGGGATACGTTTTCTTCTTTTTTTCTGTAATTTAACATTAAGTAGGAATGCTCACACGCACACACACGCATACACAATTACATTAAGTAGCTATATAGGTAGGTTAGATAGGCATAATTTTAATTGTAGGTAGGATAGATAGGGAGCATCCAACACTAATGTAGTTGAATAGGTAGGCAGCGTAAGTTTATCTCTTCTATTTTATCTTGCACCCACATTACACGCACCAGCGTATTACACACACACACAAATACATACATAAACACATATGTTAGTATTTGAGCGTAATTTTATTTTCATTACACATTCTAATTTATTATTACTAAGGTTGAGAGTAATTTAATTTCATTGGTAGTTAAGAGCAATAACGTAATTCTAGGAAAAATATTGTAATGTAAATTAAAACGCTGTAAGTGTATTGATAGGTAGGTTAATTGTTAAGTTTTACATTATCATTATTAAGTTGGAGCCCAAGGCATTACGTAGGTGGTGGGGTGGGTGCCGAAAGGCCAATGAATTGGGCTCTTGAGTTTTGTAATTTTAGGTAAGCTAGGACCGTAATGTAATGAATAGGTAGGTTAAGGCTACGTTGTAACACATACTCATTAATAGATTTAGGGTTTAAGTTTTATATTATTATTACTAAGTTGGAGCCCAAGGCATTACGTAGGTGGTGGGGTGGGTGCCGAAAGGCCAATGAATTGGGCTCTTGAGTTTTGTAATTTTAGGTAAGCTAGGGCTTAATTGTAATGAATAGGTAAGTTGAGGGTACGATAGCCGATAGACTCTGAATTTCGAAGTCTGTTGTCAGAGGTAAGTCTTGGCGGCCAGTGGTGAACCGGCAATGGTTTACTATCCGGACGGCAATGGTTTACTATCTGCACGGTAATGATTTACTATGCGGCATGGCCATAGTCTACTACCCGCACGGCTTCCGGACGGCAAATGGTTTACTATCCGCAAGGCAGTAGTCTACTATCCGCACGGCAATGGTTTACTATCCGGTGCCCTGGCTGTCGGTGAACCTCTGTGCAAGGAGGGAGAATGAAGGGGAACTTTCGACTATCGTACCATTAACAATTTATTATAAATTAGTTAAGGTAATTGAATAGGTAGATAGGATTATTTTTATTAAGCAATTTAAGATGCAGGCACCGCTAAGCTTTCTAGTGAGAATTTTCTCTTTCTCCATTCCACGGGCTGTGTTTCAACAACAATCTCGAGGAGGACCGGCACCAGTTTTGGAGGACAACGCAGGAAACGGAAGGCACTCATCATTTTGCCTTTGTCGAATGGACGACGGTAAGTTTTTTTTTACATTTTA